CCCTATAGGTTGGCAGTAAATTGCCTACCCGGATCCTTTGGGCACGCACCCACCCACGCACCCACCCACGCACCCACCCACGCACCCACGCACCCACGCACCCACGCACCCACGCACCCACGCACGCACACACGCACACACGCACGCGCACCCACCCACACACACACACACACACACACACACACACACCGCGAAGGTTAGGTGGTGTTGGCAACGTAGGCCCAAGGAAGAAGTTAAGATCAAAGCCATAGATGGGACAAGATCGTCTGGTGCTGCCGTGGCGGCCTCGGTTAAGACGTATCACGGATTTCAGCCTGACTGCCCTGCAGGCTCTCGATCGCATCGTCAGGACCTGTACAGAAGCCTCTTGGCGTTCGTTTGGGCTGGTAATGCCACAGATTGGCTTGCCTTGCTCTGCATGCAGTGGTCTGCTGAGGAATCTCCATCAGATGGCGGCTCAATGGCACCCTCTGATGGACCGTTGTTGCATGGGAATGGGTCCGCGTCGGCCCTGGAATTATCAACGCAGATGCAGCCGAAGGCTTCGGAGAAGGGAGGTTCCGAAATTCGTTGCATGGCCTCGCCATTCCCAGAGGATGGCGATGGCGAGGAGACCGCACCTTGGGAATGGGAGTCGGTGTCGGAACCCGGCGGCTACCCGGTCATCATCCAAGTGGTCCTCTCCGACCCCTCTTTGTCCTGCGTGCACTGCGCGGCAGAAGTGCCCTCTGCAAGGCCGACGCTGCAGAGGCAAAGTGAGGAACTCTGCCCAAGACTCGAGCCCCTCTGTGCTGCACAGTGCCCAGCCCAACAGAAGCTTGAGAATGACCCTGCGCCTGTTTGGGAAGACCCAGCTTTTTGCCGGATTCCGGGACAAACGGCGCCAGAAATCTGGGACTTGGAAGCTTGTCAGGAACCGAGGGCCGGGTATGAGCGGCCGGCAACCAGTGAAACTGGTTCGGAGGGACACACGCGCGGCTGGCGTCATGTTTTGACCCCGGTTAGCTCTCCATTTTCATTGGATTGCAGCGAGGACAGCTCCCAAGGACTATCTGGACCCAAGTCTATGGAGCAAGCACCTGTTGTGCGTGAGGTCACCTTGTCCGATGCGGACGTTTCGTCTTTCCATTTGCAGGCATTGGCCGAGCAAGAGCCAGTTGGAGAACTCGCCCCGCTTCGCAGTGCACAAGATTGTGGGCCACAGAAGCCGCCCAGGTCGGTGCACTCTGTGGAGACTGGTGTCGGGGCTGGGAGTGCCGATGCAAGAACTCCGATCACTCCTCTTGCCAGAGCATCTCACAGCGGTCAGCAGGGAGTTAAGCCTCTTCACGTCGATGCAGAGACGGGGAGCACTGAAGTTGTGCAGACGTTGCTGAAGTCTGGCGCAACTATTGATGCAGCTACGTCTGATGGCTTGACGCACCTTTGCGGCGCTGCGAACATGGGTCGTGTTGAAGCAGTTGCATCGCTGAAAGACTGTGGCGAGGACAGCTCCCAAGGACCATCTGGACCCAAGTCTATGAAGCAAGCACCTGTTGTGCGTGAGGTCACCTTGTCCGATGCGGACGTTTCGTCTTTCCATTTGCAGGCATTGGCCGAGCAAGAGCCAGTTGGAGAACTCGCCCCGCTTCGCAGTGCACAAGATTGTGGGCCACAGAAGCCGCCCAGGTCGGTGCACTCTGTGGAGACTGGTGTCGGGGCTGGGAGTGCCGATGCAAGAACTCCGATCACTCCTCTTGCCAGAGCATCTCACAGCGGTCAGCAGGGAGTTAAGCCTCTTCACGTCGCTGCCGAGATGGGGAGCACTGCAGTTGTGGAGGCATTGCTGAAGTCTGGGGCAACTGTTGATGCAGAAACGTCTGATGGCTTTACACCCCTGCACAGTGCTGCGAACATGGGTCGTGCTGAGGCAGTTGCATCGCTGATCGCAGCGCGTGCAGATCCATCATGCACTGCACGTGATGGCTCCAGTGCTCTGCACGGCGCGGCAAGACATGGGCACACAGAAACGGTGGCATTGCTGCTGGAGAAGGGAAGTGTCCCAGATGTGCGAGACAGCAGCGGTGGATTCACGCCGATACACGATGCAGCACATGCTGGGCATCTTTCCATGGTGCTGCTGCTCCTCCAGAGTCGAGCCGACCCGGCCCGTGCAGCTTCCGGAACGACACCTCTAGACCTGGCAGCTCACAGCGGACACCTCGAGGTAGCTGCAGCGTTGTTAGCCGCTCGCGCTTGGCCAACGCCTGAGCCAGCAGAGAAGATGCTGTCGCCCCTGCGCCTGGCGGCACGTAGGAACCATCCCCAAATCCTGCAGCTCCTCCTCGCCCGCCTGAGGGAGGCTGCAGCCGGGGCCTGAGGCTGCGAGAGCCTCGTGCATGAGTTTGCAATCGAAATCCTGTGCCCGGCGACCTCGAAGGGCTGCAGCATTGTTCGTTCGCGGAAGATTTACCGCTCACCGGTTGCAGAAGCATCCGGAAATAGTTTTATCTACAAGTTCGGGCAGGACTGATCCACACATGTCGGCAGCGGGGTTGCAAAGAATGTGATGCTAGGCGTTGCTTTTCGATTGCAGCATATTGCGGTTTCATAATCTTTGAGTGGAGACACTTCGCTTCATCCCGCCATGCTCTCTGCCGCCGAACATGTTTTTCGCAGCTCCGTGGCACTTGCAAAGGTTTCTGCATGAGCATGTCGTTACATGATATTCTGACACTGTGCGTTGAATCTCGACCGCCGTTTCTGCCGATCTGTGCAACACTCTCATTTATTCTCGCCACATGCCTGATCGAAGCTGGTGGTGCACAATGCATCCGAAGATCCCGGCAACCTGTCGACTGGTCAAGTGCCAGAGTCGCGATGATTGTAGCGCAGAATGCGAGAAAAAGAGGCCCTTGTGACTCGACCTCAGCTTCGCTGCGCTATGCAAGGCTCCAATTACCGGTCTTGCGCAGGTCGCTCCAGCGAACAGGCAGTGCCGGCAGCGCCGCAGATTCTGCTGCAGGCCCCCCCGGAACCTCCTAAACCCCCTCGTAAGCCCTATGGGCGCCTTTACGGCCCTTCGTCAAGCCGCCTCAATCTTTGCGGCCCTTCAGGCACGGAGCGCTCCCATGCACTCGAGGAGGAGAACCAAAGACTGCGCGAGGAGACCTCCGGCCTTTCTGGGCGTCGGATTTGGGTTCTGCCTCTTGGTGCGGTTTGATCAAGGCTCGAGACTTCGCTTTGAACGACTCTGTGCCATTCTAAACCATGGGAAGTTCGGTTTGGGCTTGGTTCACTTTCCTCCAAGCCCAAACTATTCGTTTTGCACCAAACCCCTTCTTGAAGCCTACAAGCATAGTATACCACCCTTGCCAGTGTTTTCGTGTTGTGAAAGTCTGACAAGTGCAGGGGCGCTGCTCAAACCGCAGGAGCTGGCGAGGTATCAGACAGACGCGATGGCAGTTCGGCGGAGGCAAGGTCTGCTGCTTTTCGTGAGCTCCTTTGGCGAAGGCATGTTGCCACAGTCTGCCGCGTAAACGTATTTGTTCGCAAGGCCCATGGCGGCCATCGCAGGGGGCGGTTTTCGAGGTGCTGGACCGCAAAAGCCTGGCCCTGAGTCACTTGGAGTTTTAGGTCATTCCAGCTTAAGGCTTCGACGTGCACACAAGGTTTGAGTGTGGCACACCGGCAGGCCTTGCATGTGCGAGGACTTGAAGGCGAAGCTTGCAAGGCCTCGAGCAACATTGGGTGGATGCATGTTCGGATCAGCGCGTGTCACTGCCTCGAAATTCCATATCCATGATCAGCTCTGTGGCACAGCCTCACTGTAATGGTCTCTGCCAGCCACACGCTCCAAATGTTTCTTGGCTCCAGACTGCCGCGTCTGCCGCAGTTGATGCTTGTGCCCGAACAAAACCACTGAATCTGAAGCTTTATCTGCGGCCAGCCTTGCGACAGCCGTCGGCAGCTGTCAGATGCAAGACTATGCAAGCACGGCAAGCACTCACTGTCGTTTTCGTTCTTCTCTTGATTGTGCCAGTCTTTGCTGCTACGAGTATCAGGAACAAGCCGAAGTTGTGACCAGAAAGCCCTCAGCCCTCAACCCAGAATCCTAAACTCCCCTAGACCCAGGACCCTAAACTCCCCAAACCCAGAACCCTAAACCCCCCTAGACCCAGAACCCTAAACTCCCCTAGACCCAGAACCCTATAAACAGTTAGGGATGACCTTGCCCATTTTCAACCG